AAGAAAAGGAAAAGAAAAGAAAAGAAAAGAAAAGAACAGAAAAGAAAAGAAAAGAAAAGAAAAGAACAGAAAAGAAAAGAAAAGAAAAGAAAAGAGAAGAAAAGAAGAGAAAAGAAGAGAAAAGGAAAAGCAAGAGACACTTCTATGTTTTTTATTTCAAATTCATGCTTCTTGTGTTGCATCATTCTTCAAATGCATACATTCTCCTCACAGGACTGTGGCAGAGTAGAATTCTTGTTATCTCCCTCTCCACAACCTCATGCTGAAGACTAGAAATATCATGTTTGATTTTGGTGATTAAAACAGATATGCAAGAGAGAAAAATGTGGAGGAGGTTGTGACAACACTGATAAATTGTAGCATATGGGTAAGCCGACTGTTTATAAACAGTACCTACTGATAACTGTGGCATCTCCTAAATAAAGAGTGTCCCATATTGCAGATGGTCTTCATTACCTTCCTTCAATGGCAAGACCAAGAAGAGCAGAGTGACTTCAGTGCTGGATGAGAAAGCAGGTACCTTTTGTGCTCAGCGTTGCACTCAATGTGCTAGCAAATGCCAAATTTTGCACTATTGAACAGCTTTTCCTGTTTCAAGAAAAAATTCTAGATGCAGACCTGGTAAATAGTTCTTGAGCCTACTCACCAAAAGGAATAGATTAGCAGTAGACGGCAATGAACAAAGTGATGCCTACACAGAACAGTGAGATTTTTGCCCATGCTTTACACTGATGTCAAAGCCAAGCTCTCTGTGAGAAAGTGTTAATTGATCAATGATTATCAAAAGTTTCCCATCAGAGTAAACATTTTGCGAGGATTTATGCCTGTCTTGTACTATCAACATATGAGCAGTAATTCTTATTGTTGCGTCCACAATAATAAACAACTGTCACTCTAATTCATGACTGTTTCATCACTGCCAAACTCCCCCAAGATGTTCACATCAGTTCTCTGTTATTCCTAAGCCAAATTCCACTTAGAAAATGATAGGAACTTTTGAATGCTTTTGAACAATATTTTGCCCAAGGCTTACCTGAGTGAGTGGCTCAGGAGGAGGTGGTGGTGGTGGCGGTGGAAGGTCTAAACTAGGGTCTGGAGGTGGAGGGGGCAAATCGTCTCCAAACCGTCCCGTAATAGTAACATAGGTGCTTGATTTATGAGAAGTGGCAGTATCCAAGCCTGTTGAAGGTGGAGTGACAGTACTTTGCTGATTGCCCATAGTCTTCTGGGCTTGTAAAGTTCGCTGTTCAACTTCATTTATATCTGCTACAAGATCAGCCATTAAAGCATCTAGGTCTTTGTCCTCTAGTGTACTTAGGGATTCTGTAAAGAAAAATACCAAACATATTGGACTGAATGCAACACAAAACGCTATGTTTCCAGATGAGTGAAGATTAAACCATAGGAGATGTAGTTACTTCAAAATATAAGGGCATTGGGAGAGAAAATAAATGTTTAAATGGATTCAAAAAACAGACATCACAACAGATTTTGCAAATAGTCACTTATCCGGTCATACTCAAATTTAGAACACAAAGAATTAAATTAATACAAATTAGGCAATACAGGAAGTTTCACCTTCAGTGATAATGTCTTAGGCCCATAATATGTTTCAAAACCTGGTCCTGATCCAGTAAATTTCCTAAGTATATGTTCAGTGACAAAGTTCAATTAGCTCCCATTAGACTGCTTATATAGCTAAAGTTAAGTCTATAATTCAGCAAGTTTTGATTTGGCACTCAGGAATATGCACAACAGAGCCCCAGATCAAGAACATCTTCATATATTAGTATCATTTAAAAACTATAAAATCCACATGAGACAAAGTCAGAATCAGAGAGCTCTAAGATTTAAAAAATGTCATGGCCTCAATGGCACAAATGTGTGATCTCACCTGTGACCCACCCTGGGTAAAACGCAGGGGTTTATTAAATAGAAGAACAAACCAGGCTACTTACCATTTAAATCTTTAAAACCAACTGTAAAGCTGAATTCCTTGTTGGCTGCTTTGGGGGATGGAGATGGTAACGTCTCCACCCCTAAACTCTGTTAAAGTAAAAGAGAAAGAAATATCTCTGATGACATTATTTCTATGACAGACACGAATACCTGCCAGTCACTTAGGCTGAAAGCGTCAAAAGAAGTTAACTCTTCTTCAATGGACAGAACACCGTACACTAGTTACCCATCTGGGTATAACCTCAGAAAACTAAACAGAGCTCAGATAAGCATTCATGCATTGTCTCTCAGTAGTGCCAACCATTTAATGGCAAAATGTTGGCCTACGCCAGGCACACCTAGGCTTGAGCACAGCAAAGGTCATGACTGTTTCCAGCTGAGGCAGTGGATAAAGTCAAACTGTTTATGGGTTTGGAGTGAGGTTTTTCATTTTATTTTGTTATTTGGAAGGGGAGTTTAAAAGAGTTTAGCTGTGGATGTGTGTACACGTGAGGATATGCAGTGCCATTTGGTCCAGAGTGCATTATTTACTACTATAAATGCAACCTAGCTGTTATTTGCTCCTATTGTTTGAAAAGACATGCTGTTTGCAATGGAAATCGCAAATCTGCATAGTCAAATAGAGAATTTCCAGCCTGTAGCTTGTTGTTTAGGAAGTAAGCAGGAAGCCCCTGCTTCATATGGTAGGAAAAGTGTATAGAGTGAAGATAACGAAGATAAATTCTCTTTCTCTTCCCTAGTGAGGGAGGTAATAGCTTGAATAACCAAATGCTACAGAACTGCAGAAACAAGACCAGAAGGTATTTCAACATCTGCCTATCAGGTGAGCTAAGCTCTTCTGAAGAAGAAAAGCCAAGCAAAACAAAACAAAACCTCTGACCAGATATAATCCAGCATCTACTCTGCCAGTGTAGTCTGCTGCTTCCCCGCCCAGATATATGGGGAATCAAGTACTTTCTGCTCTGAAGCAGCCTTTTATGTATTTTAAAATTATCAGTCTTGTCTTCAACAGACTAAGCAACCCTGTTAAACTTTTCTCATATTCCTTCCCTCCTTATCACTGCCATTGCTTTCTTCCCCATTATTTCCTCCATTTGACCCTCTTCCTTCTCAAAATGCAGTGCTAACAGCAGGCACTGTTTCTTTCCAACACAGAGCAAAGTGGAAGGGCTACTTCATATACCTTACAAACTCTACCTTTGTATGTACATGTTCTGCAAGATGTTT